ATCATTGCTGCACTGAGCACACTTAAAGTGATGGGATTAGAAGAGCAGTTCAACGTGGCAAAAGAATGGGTAACAAAGAAACTGAACTTCACCAATATTGACCTTGAAATGAACGTATATGAAACCATCACCGAGTACATTGGCGGTCTAATGTCCGCCTTTGCGCTGACGGGAGATTCAGTGTTCAAAAATAAAGCAACAGAAATAGGCGACATTATCAAAGTGGCATTCAACTCATCTTCGGGACTGCTCTACAGAAAGGTGATTCCAAAGACAAAAAGTGTACCCGACAACTCGCAGCACAACTACCTTTCCTTCACTGGCCACCAACAGCCTGAGCTGATATTCCTTGCTGACCACAACAACGACACTGAACTTGAACAAAAGTTGACAAAAGTGCGGCAGTCTATTGCTCAGATGGGCGTGCCTAAGGGGCACTTTACCTACCTAATAGACGTAAACACTGGACAGCGGAAGAGCACCACTTCGGCGTTTGGCCAAAATGCCAGGAACTTTTACTACAACCTTTTACGGGCTCACCTGCAGTCGGCTTCCACTGACAGTCAGTCACTGAGAACGTATGCTGCTGCTCTGCAGTCTATTATTGAAAACAGTGGCCTGATCAAAGTGACTCAGAGTGGTCATGTTCTGGTCACCTATTGGCACCAGCTGCTGAATATAAGCGCAAAAAGCATGGAAGCAAGCACCTGCTACCTGGGAGCGATGCTTTCGCTGGGCAGTAGGGCTATGCTCAAAGCCAGCGCACTGCCAGTCAATACTTCAATGAGAAGTTCTGTAGAGAAAAGTCAGCAATTGGCAATCAACTTAACGGAAAGTTGTCACCTGGCAGCAGCATCAACTAACAGCACTTTGCTACCAAATGAGTTTGCCATCACCGATGAAGGAGAAGTGAATGTGGTCGACGAGCAGTCGTACTTGACGTAAGATTCTGTCACTGACTATTTTATATTTTATTAATGTTTTTTCCTTCATTTTGCAGACAGCATCTGGCAGAGAGTTACTTTATCCTCTGGCGCCTGACACATGACCAAAGGTATCGAGAGTACGCCTGGCAGCTGGTTGAGGCTATTCGGCAAAATGCTCGCACAGATGGTGGAGGATACGGAAGTGTCAAGGACGTTAATGAGCTTCCCACAACTCAGCTTGACTACCAACCCCCAGAGTTTTTCTCAGCCACACTTTTGTACCTCTTTTTAACCTTTTCCAATGACAGTGTTTTGCCTATTGACAAGTGGATTTTTAATTCAGTCGGCCATCCGTTGCCTGTTTGTGGTCAGCATCAATTGTACCCACTAGACATGTGCATGAACTAATTTTAAAAACATATCTTTATTGCCTAAAATCAAATGATGACATTGCATCATTTTGAGTCGACTTGTTTAATAAAATGTGATCCAAAAAACATAAGAAAGGCAAAATAAGTAAAAAGGCATTGAAGTAAAGTCCATTGCGTAATGAATCCTAATGGCCCTGCAGTAAACAGTTTCAACTGCTCTAAATGTTCCAAGTAAATGTAGCATTTCCATCGATCTCGACACGTGCCTTGATTACTTGCTAAAACTGAACTCAGTTTGCATTTAAATCCCACTACACGGTGGTTTACTAGCACTAAACACTGGCCAATAGCAAGTGGGGTGAGAATAAAAAATGCTTGAGTAAATATGCCAGCGTAGATGGCACTTCCCGAAAAGCGAATGTAAAAAATGTATGATCCAGAATAGCTACAGTATGGAAAAATAAATATTATGTACGCAAAAAAGAAAGGTGCCACAACCGACGAGTTAAACTGATTCAAAATATGGCTCATTTTGATATGTTTCTTGCAGAAAAGTGTTAAATAGTGTTGATCAAAAATGGTTAATAGTTTCAAGTTGACAAACTTGAAATCAGAATTTAACGAAGAACAAATAGCAGTTATTGTTGCAATGTAAAACAACATAATTTGCAAACTTTTTCGCAGAAAAAAGAGATCCATTAAAACATTTAGTAAAAAAATTGTTTTGCTAGAAAAAAGTATTGGTTGAAATAAATCGGAAAGAAACATTGATATCATCATTGAATAATTTGCTGTTTAGACATAACAATTTAACAAATATTGTTACACAAAAAAATATATGTCTACTATCATAAGCACTTACATAAATAAATATACTGAAGTTCAAATTCAAAAAACAACCACAAGAATAAAGTCAAATTACTGCTTGTTGTTGACTTTTTTGTATATACTAAATTTTGAATTACATTTTTAAGGTATAGTGCTTTAATCAACTTGAGAGTAGTTAAAGTTTTAATTTTAAACGCATGAAAAATAAAATTTTGTAAATTAAATTTAACATCTAACCGACTATTTTTGGAATAATATTGAGCAGCACTTGTAACAATTATGTGATCTAGACGATTCCATAAATTTAAATTTCTTTTACAATAAATATTGAAGTAAAGATGTCCATAAAAAATGATAAGAATGCCATAAAATAAAAAGAAAAGTGGATCAGTAAAACCATTTCGATAAATGTGTGAAAAAAGAAAATCAATTTTGAGCAAAGTTTCTACATGCTGGTGTTTTACGCAGTAGTAAAATAAAGCAAAACGTATCGAGTAATGAAAAATCCAGAGATAATAGATAATGTGAATAATAGTATGCTTTTTTGATTGACCACTTAATTTTTGTAAAGTTTGCAAAAAAACGGAAATTACTTGGAAAAATAAGTGAATACATTTTTGACACAATTTAAAAAATCGTATGTTTTAACAATTTGTGTTTCAATTATAAAATTTGTAATTTTTGACACAATTATTACATTTGTGATTAATTACACGCAATATTTAATTTTTAATTAATCATGATTTGAACTTGTTTTGCAAGGTTCATAGTCAATATCAATAAAAATAAATTTTTAATTTAAAATTTAACTTAAACATTTATAAAATGCATTAAAATGTCGACATTGTCAGCAGACCCTCAATTGTTTTGCATATTGATTAAAATGAACCAAAAGTAAATAAATTTAAATTAAATATTAAAATTTTAAATTGAAACATTTTTGACCTAATAACTACCAATTAATTGCCTGCAGCGACTGTTAAAAAAAGTAATACTTAACCAGTTAATTTAAAAAAATAATCGAATGGTTAATACGAAACTTTAATTGCAAAAAATTTTTCAAACGATATTTTAAAAAATTAAATTTTGAGGGCAAAAAAAGTTAAAATGTTGACAACAACAACACCAGATGTTTTGAATAATATAAAAAGCACAATTTGAGCATCATTTGATAAGAATGAAATGCATAATTTAAATGTTTGGGAGTTTTATCATTAAAACTTGTCAATGAAGGAGTTGCATTTCATGCTATGAATAAGATTCAAAATAATAAATATTTTATATGTTTTTGAAGTTGTGCAGGTGCAGTAAATATTAATTACACTGAAAACTATTCATAATTTTTTTTTGAAAAATAACTCGTAGTTGTCAGTTAAACTTTAGTTTTCACAAGACACACACAATAAAAATAATTTTTGACAAAATGAGCCATGTATGGAACTCGGTCACTTCAAACAGTATCAAAAGTTATCGAGATCATGAAAATCAACAAAATCCAGGCAAACATGATAATGAACATCGGGGTTTGTGGATGCTTTTTACTGGTAAGCTCATACAGCTCTCTGCCTTATCAAAAATAAAAGGTTGATTTGTTTTTTATTAGTTCATCGTTTGACAGGTCTTTCTTTTCTGGGAGCTTCCATTACATCTCAACCGCTGTCATTTTTCTTTAAAACTATTCTTTTTCTCTGGAACATTGCTGTTTTTGCATTCAGCTACTACACTTTCTACATCAGCATTGTCTACAATACTCAACGTTCTGGTCACCTTGAAAACTATGCGTCTCATGCATTTTTTGGAAACGGTCAACAGTGGTCATCGCTTATTTTGTATCTTCGTTTTAGTGCACTTGCTATTTACCATCTTTTTAGCTATGTCATCAATCTGTACATTGGCGTCATAGCAAGACCCCTTCTGAGGTAATAAACTTTTGCACAAATTGCTTGTGAATAATCACAATACTGTACATTTTAAGCCTTCTTGAAACTGAAGTACTCCCTCGTCTTGAGCCGAAAGCAGAGCATCGAATTGGGCGCATCATTGTTCTTGTTCAGTTAATTCTCATCATCACTCTAATGCTCGTTTTGCAGACGCTGATCTACTTTAAGTTTGGCCACTTTCTCTTTATACGCGGCATCGAGGTGGTGATAAACCTCTTTTCTCTCTTTGCCCCCATTGCTCTCATAGCGTACCTCAATCTGAGCTTGGCGCACATTCTTGTGGCCAGTGCAGACCAGCAGGAGGAGTTGGGGCAGTACATTGAGCGACTGCTTCTGGTGGGCTCCATCATGAAGCGGGCCACTCGTCTCCTCGGTCCGGCAATCATCGTGCTGATCGTCAACTCAATGGTCGTCTGCATCTGCACCGTCTGCCTGTGCATTGCCAACTGGACCAACACCTACTTTCTCAGCACCTGGGCTTTTCTTGTCTACTCCATCGTCCTGATCATGCTGGTCATTGTGAGCAGTTACGCCTACGAGACCAGCAAGGTGACCAGTGACCGCTTCAAGCAGAAGCTTCTCCTCACACTAGTCAACTACAAATCGTCCAAGTCAGTCTCTTCTTCCTCGCATGGTCGATCTAGTCACAGTGCCGACCACAGCAAGTACCACGAAGCAGTCGACTGTCACCTCATCTCTTCACAGCTGACCATTCTTGCCAGTCTAGAAGAGAATATTCGTATGGCACCGCTGAATCTCTTTTTTCTCACCCGCTCGTACATCTTAACCTTTCTCGCCTTCATGCTCTCCTACTCGGTCATACTTGTGCAGACAAGCAAGAGCACCATTCTTGACATTGACCACATCAGGCAAAACTGCACTGCTTATAAATAAAGTGACAACATGATTAATTGACAGCATTTTCAGTGATTACTTTATCCATTGTCTGAAATGTTTCCGAAAATCGGAAATGGATGACCGGCCGCGCTATAAACCCACTGGTCAATTGGCAAGACACTGTCTTCGGTGAATGTCAAAAATAGATATTTGAGCGTTGCAGAGAGAAAGATGGGCAGTTGAACGTTGTTCTTAATCGTCGGCACTCGATTGACGTTTTGTACTTGGGCGTAGCCATTGTCCGTCCGACAGTGCTCGTAAATGGCCATCACCAGTTGCCAGGCGTACTCTCGGTATTTTTGATCATGTGTCAGTCGCCAGAGAATAAAGTAACTCTCTGCCAGTTCAGGCGTCAGTATGCCAATGGTCACCAGAGCGGTGGTTGCCTCCTCATGCTGAGTGAAGATGAACCGCTGTGGCAGAAGGCCCGTTCGCGTTCGAATGGCTGCTTGGTGGCACGTTTCAGTGATCTCAATGGCCAACTTCCACTGACGATCAATATTCTTTGCCTGAATCAAAGGCCACTCTTTTGAAGATAGTGATTCATTGATTGATTTTAGATTTCGCTTGAGCGCATCTACGCCTAGCGCTAACATGGCGCCTAGATAGCAGCTATTTCCTGAGCTCCACTTTTGATGAACGCCTTCATTAATGTCGAAGGCTCGGGCGTAAATTAGGCCACTTTGAATAGACTTGCCAAACATGCTTGCATGGTCAGCCGTGGTGATGGCATGGCCGTACTGCACATATGAGTACAAATCTCGACCTCCAGAGTGAATGTAAGCTCGAATCAAGTTAAAATAAAATTCTCTACTGTGCATATTGAGACTGCTCGTAAAGGAGTGCCATTTGTTTTCACGGTAGTACTTTTCATAGTACAGTCCATTGTGTTTGGGAAGCTGTTCCACAAGAGCAGAGATGCAGTTGATGTAGTCGATAAAGAGTGGCTCACCCGAGAGCTGAATAAAGTAAAGCATCTCTAGCTGACGGTGACCAAGAAATGATAGGTAGTTTGAAGTGCCAGAAAGATTGCCACTCTTTAGGTTTATAGCTGGAGGCATTATGTACGATTCTGGAGTGGTAAAAATTGTCAGCAATTATATCAACAAAAGTCGCCACTCACTTACCATTTCCCACCGAATAGTTTAATGCAGGAAGGATCATGTCAGTGATCTCAAAAGACTTGTTAAGGAAAACTTCATCGCCGGTGAGTGCAAAACAGGAGAGCAGTCCTCCGAGGTAGTTGACGATGATGATGTAGACTAACACGTCAGCGGTTGTATTTGTCAGTCGATGCAGTTCACTCTCTACCCACTGCTTGCCTCGGTCAAACTCCTCGTACATCTCCATCACCCAAAGTGTGCTCATTGAGGATACTATTGTTTCGCCCACTGTCGTCGAGTCATCTGCCTCCTTTGTCAAAGGTTTCAATGCCCCACTTCCCCAAGCATGCTGAACGTAGGCGTTCCACGCCTCCCTCGTCATATTTCGCACAAAACTGGCTCGGTCTATGGGGCGAGTGATGTTTAGCCTGAAGATAATCTCATTTTGGATTTCTTCTTTGTTTGCCTCCTCACGGCTGCCTTCCATCGTTTTTTCACGTTGCCACCGATCCATTAACCGAAAGAGAAAAACCACCAGGACAAGTAGGGCAACAATGCCCAAAAGTACACATATGGAGAGCAGTGTGCGTTTGATCACTTTGCTGTATTTGTTAAGTTCAAACTTTTCCTTTGGTTTTGCAGTGCCATACTCAATGTACTCGTAAACGTGTTCTCGTTTTTCGGCTATAATTTCCAAGTAGCTGACAGCTCTCGTTTGGTGCTGATTTTCGGGACTCATAGGTCCTTGAGGGGCCATATACACGTACACATTATCGCTGTTCAGTGCACTTTGACAGATGTACTCGCTTTCTTCTTCACTCCCAGAATACGCTAAATCCATAATTTGTTTAAAAATTACAAAAACAGCTTTGCAAAACAGGAAGATATTTATTAAAAACATTTATTTACACTAGATCAACCAGATGGGAAAAAGTAAAGGAATGTTGCCAAAAGAAACTACTATCAAAATGGGACGTCCGTTTACGTAAACTTGAAAATAA